AGTGGGGATTCACATTTCGGGGAAGCAGTCTAATTAGCCATGGATACATAGATAGAAAGCTTCCACAACACTGTTTCGTCTTTGCTTCTTTCCTATTGCATCATTTGACAGTTCGACAGCTTGCACATCTGGAATTTTTTCCCACTGTGACTATTGCAGATTTTCGAATATTGGAACTGGTGGGGGGGGATGTTGCAGTGCTCTGTTGTAACCGGTTCGTCTGTGTCCTCAGAAGTCTCTTGTTAGTTCTTCCAAGAGTTCCTCGGAATTTAGCTTGTAGTTCGCTCTGCTTTCTTACTCGAGCCTAGTGTTCAGTATACTTCCAACCGAATGTGAGGAGAACCTAAATTGCCCACCATTAAATAGCATGTTTGTGGACCACCTGTTCCATATCCAACGCAAGATGTCTCGGTAAGTGGGGTTGCAAAGTCAAGGATGTAAAATTATTTTTCACCTGATGAGAGGAGTCCAGTTGAGCCAGAACTGTTCCCTTTTGTCAGGGCAGTTGTGCTCCGATTGCTGAATTAATCCCACACCGCGGTGTTACAGCGAGCGCTTATGCTGGTCTATAGAGTCGAGTCTTTAGTAAATTCTTTTTCAACGAAGCTTGATTACCGCGAGCTCTTCCATGTCTCACCAGTCATACTGTTCCCACCAGAACGGGAAATTATTCCATTTCTACAGAATATCAAAATGTAGTCGAGTCTCAGATTTGCTGTCTTCGGGGTTTTTTCAGCTGTGACATGTGTTGCAGGGGCACAGACGAGTGAGTAGCTGGGCTTCAGCACTTCATATTTGATCCTGCCACTCCCGTACACTTAAGGTCTGCATAGACAGTGAACTGGACCATTTGATCGGGGAGAGAACCGACCCACAAGCGCTGTAGGATGCAAAGTAACTTCACTTTTCTGCGTGGATGTGCAGGTCCTGTTTGAGCCAGCGAGTTCAAAAGCCGGCCGCTGCGGGAGTAGTCTGAATTGGGTTTTGCGCGCAAATCTCGCTTCACGCGCTCAACACGGTTATCTCATTCCGTGATGGCACCTCCCCCTCGCGAGCTCGCAGGCCCGGTCACAGCGTTGTGGCGCCTCTCAGGAGCCGTTTCTGTTGCCCCGCGCCCCCTCAAGGCGGCTCCCCATCACGGGGATATCGGTTGACAGTCTCAGACCTTCCCACGAGACAATCGGGTGACATGCACCCTCACTAGCCTCGTACATGCGCTCTCCGCGCGGCCGCAGAGTCGCCCAGTACGTGCATTACTGAATCCAAAAATACCGTTTTCCTCAATTTACGCTAATTTGCAAATATTTTTCATATTCATGAATTCTGCACGACCCGTTTGTATTGCATACCGTCTTCAAAGAAACGACCAAAATTATTTGTTTCCATTCCGGGTTTCTCACACCACTCAGTAAAAATCCATTTACCATGGTTCTTATACTATTTAAGTAGTATATGGATTTTGCATGTTTTTCAACACTGCACCTTAGGGCGAAGGTTGACCTTGCCAAGGAAACTGACCCACTACGTAAGCGCGTGTTGGATGGTCGTCAGCTGGCTTTGAAAATCAGTGCAAATTCTGTCTACGGCTTTACTGGGGCTCAGGTTGGTAAACTCCCCTGCCTGGAAATTTCAGCCTCAGTTACCTCCTTCGGCAGACGAATGATCGATCAAACCAAGGAACATGTTGAAGGAAAATTCACCAGGGCTAATGGTTATGCCCATAACGCTGCTGTAAGCAAACCGTTTATTGCTGTTTTCTGATTTTGTAGTGGACTTCCGCATCTCATCGCCTGAGAGCATTGTCTTGTGGTTTCCACATAATTGTCGGCACACAGAGAAATGGGTAATCACATGATACTCAGGGTCGTTTGCCAAGCCTTTCGTGGATGCGCGCTGCTATGATCTTTGATTGCTGTTCTGGAGGAAGCTATCAGTGGCCGTTGTGAGATACCATGCTGTCTAGGATGCAGACTACTGGTTTACGCCCCATCAAGTGTTTGTGCCGAGAACAGCGTTCGAGTTACCCCTCCGTTTTCCATGCCGTTTACTGGCGCAATAGGCACGATCTTCGTTTCCACTTGTAATAACACTAAAAATGCTCCTTACTAGCATTCACAACTTATCTTATCGATTCTCATGTTTTCGTCCATCCTTCGACTAGGTAATTTACGGTGACACAGACTCTGTGATGTGCAAATTTGGTGTCTCCACCGTAGCTGAAGCTATGGAATTGGGTCGCAAAGCTGCTGAAATCATCTCTGCGGAATTTCCAAATCCTATTAGGCTCGAATTCGAAAAGGTATGTATGGATGATTTCACTTGGTCATCCCTCAATTCCAGGTTTATTTCCCGTACTTGTTGATCAACAAGAAGCGATATGCTGGTCTCTATTTCACCAAACCAGACAAACACGATAAGATGGACTGTAAAGGAATCGAAACAGTTCGACGGGACAATAGTCCTCTTGTGGCCAATCTGATTCAAGCGTGCTTGGAGCGAATACTTATCCACCGGTGAGTTATAGGTAGCCTGTGTCTTGTTGTACTACGTACCTTTCAAAGATGTGATAGACCCCCAGATTTTCACGCCTTATCTATTTCGTCATGGACACCAAGGACAATTAACCATCCTCTTTACTCACAATACCTGTTGCTCTTGGTTACTGGCATGAATGTGTGTCGTTTCAGAAGACGCATTTTCAGTTCGTTTATGTCGTTTTTGTTCTCCCCCGACCTCAGTGATCCGAATTCCGCAATCACCTTTGCTCAGGGTGTTATTTCCGATTTGTTGTGCAACCGAATCGACATCTCCCAATTGGTTATAAGCAAAGAACTTACTAAAACAGACGAAGAGTATGCGGGTAAGCAGGCCCACGTAGAGTTGGCAGCGAAAATGCGCAAACGGGATGCTGGCTCCGCACCCCATCTGGGCGATCGTGTCCCGTATGTGATTACTGCAGTTGGAGGTAAAAATTCAGCCACCTATACGAAGGCTGAAGATCCCCTATATGTCTTGGAGCACAACGTTCCCATCGATACCAAATACTACCTGGAAAACCAGTTGGCCAATCCCCTCTTGCGTATTTTTGAACCTATTTTGGGAGAAGCCAAAGCCAAATCTGTGCTGCTAAGTAAGTTGTTGCACACTGGATTTTTACGAATGTAGTGATTAAACGGTGGGACTATCTGGGCTGATGACGTCCTCTTCTTACTGTTTGTCGTCACTCTCCCTATAAGCTATTCACATCCATATAGCCACCCTTTTTAGGCGGCCTTCATTGATTAAAAGTTAGATGGGCGGTCAATGAAATGAATTCGATAGGTTTAGGAGAAACAGGTTGGTTGCTATCATGATAACATCGCTTTTATTCAAAAACCTCACTGTTCAGGTGTGGTGAGTGCAGTTGGCAAATGGGTGTTCCACTTTGGATTCCACATTGGTCAAATAACCCGTGAACCTTTCGGTAAGCTGTGTCGAAAAGGGCTTCCTTACGTGCCATACTCCTAAAATGAATAGCCGTATCGCACTATGTTTCGGAAACATAATGGGCGTGGCTCCTACTCTCAAAGTGCGCCATTTGTATCTCCGTTTGGGACGAGCAGTGATAAGCCATGTTTGACGAACCGGATATCTGAGTAAAGCAGTGCGAACTCATGTTTCAGTGCCTCTGTTGTTGAAGACTGATGGCAGGTAACGGACCTGAATATCCAGGGGATATTTAAAATTTGTTTGGCAGCACGTTAGGAGGATTGGTGTGTTCATTGCATGTAGCGGCGGTCGTTGGATGCTTCGGTAAATCATAAGCTCCCTCTGGGGTAAAAGTTCGCCCCTATATAGGTTGCACGTTCTGTCCGACTGTGTGCTAATGACTGACTAGTCGGTTTTAATGAATAGCAAATGATTGCCTGCCCGAATGACCCAGTGTGACGGGACTGGGGCACATTTCCTGATTTGCAAAGAGTAATATTCGCACAATTAAATTCCCCTTTCACCAGATGGTGAGCATACGCGCGTGAAAGCGGTGGTTCACTCGAAGGTTGGGCAGCTGTCTGCGTTCACACAGAAGCGCGCTACTTGTGTAGGTTGCCGCACATTACTACCAAATGACAAGGCTGGTAAGTCATGCATACTAGAAGTCCTTACTTTCGGCGTTAGTTTTTCAGTTTTAACGGTGGTGTTTCGTACTAATTATTTGAAGCTTCACTCAGTCACCTAACTGGTTACTAGCTTGTAGATGTTGTTTTTCTTACATAGTTTTCTTACATATTTAACAATATAACTATTTGGATGTGCTGGACTGAAACAGCACGGGCTGTTGCACCCATATATATTCGCTTTTGGTGCTTGATAGGATATTTCGCCAGGCATGAATCTTTATTTTCGTCGCTTGCATTTGACTGGGTCATTTGTTAACGGACCTTTATCGCAAAAGTCTCCCAGCCATCACACAGTTTCGAGGACAGTTACCATGCAATCCGATGGAATCAGGAGGGCTGGACTACTGCCAGTTTGCACACGCCTGTAAAGAAGCAATCGAGAAGCCAGGGTTGCTTTCTAACCACGGACACAGTCAGCAACTTCGTGCCTCAAGCAGTGAGCTTTCTAGAGCTCGACCCTTACCATAGGATTGGATAGGTTCATAACGACGGCTTCTTGCTTTCTTAATGTAATAGGTGGGTTTAATAATGCCACTGCCTTGTTTGAACTTTCAGAAGCTGCCCTCTGTAAATACTGCGAGCCTCGTGCTTCGGAAATCTACCAAAAGGAAATAGCACAACTGAATGTGATGGAAGGTCGTTTTGCACGTTTGTGGACGGAATGCCAGCGATGCCAAGGCAGTATTCATGAAGAGGTCATTTGTACCAGGTATGTTTCAACTCATTCATGTGTATAATGGTCCGCTATTTCTCAATTCTGGGCTGCACAATGAACCTAGTGAATCCTAGCGGTGACAGAAAGTGGCGCAATTTATGTAGAATTTGATGTCCTTCGAATACCGTCATTATTTTACCGTTTCGTCAAATTTCCCTTATAAGGTGTCCTTTTAGATGCGAGCAAATTTGATATCAGTACACGAATGAAGTCCTTTTTTATGCTATTCCATTGTTCAAGATAAGTGCAGCTGTCAAGCGCGCTGAGCCTCAACTTGGATGTTTACTTTATTCATGTGGTTTTCTAGATGGTCTCTCATTTCACCGCTCAAATCCGCACCCAGCTTAGGTACACACAATTTACTAGTTGATACTTGCAACGACCTGAACGTTATAACTTTCCAAGGTCTTGTAACTGCTAATAGATTATAAATCATCCCATTACCTTACACTGTGTTTTCTAAAACAGCTTCGTGCATGTGCTAATTAAATGAAATCAGCTGAAGTTGAAACATCTTCGTCAGAACTCCATCATCCGTAATGGGAGCGATAAGGTCTGAATTCCTGTTCAAGCATGATCAGGAAGCAGTAAATCGCCTCTGTATGAGATCCGCAAATCGGTTAGTTCCTTTTTCCTGGTTATGTGCTGAGCACAGGATTTTTTCGAGTGAAGTGGGACAACTTTAATTCATTCATGTATGTGCCCGGACGTCATTTGGGAGATTACCTTGCATATCATTTCGTAAGCTGTTTTTTAATTTCACTTCACTCTCATTGATAGCCGGGATTGCCCTATATTCTACATGCGTATGAAGTCGCGAAAAGACACAGAAGAACAGTACAAGGTTGTCAAACGATTCGGGGACCCTGTTTGGTAATTTAGCCCCGAGCTTTATGTGCATTTCACTGAGACCTCTCACCCCCGGTTGTATTTATCTGTTCCATGTTATTTTTTTATCGTCCAGATTGCCCAAAAATCCTTATTCTATTCGCCTTTTAAACCCTCTTCTATACAACTTTGATGAGGAGGTATAGTGTATACTACCTCTGTGGGTCTTGCCAGTCACCAGAGTATGTTTCTCGCACCAGTTTTCGTATAGTTTGCACTCATTTATCCATGATGGTATTCACTCCGAAACCCATAGTCTGGATCCCGAGATGTCATCATCATGGTCATTATCAGCTGTGAGAACCGGGTACTTGTTGTACAGTGGTTGTAGCTGCCACCGTTCACCGATGATTTGGGGAGGTGCGCTAGGTAGCTGCGCATTGGAGACGGGAGCTGATAAATTGGTGCGTATGTCCAGGTCTGTCAGTGGACTCTCAAGTATGGGGGTTGGGAAGAGAGCTTTGCGTTGAACGCAATAGCTTGGATGCACGAGTGCCACTGAGGGCGCGACTGGAGCATGTATGATAATGCCACCAACAATTAATGTGACCTGTCTCTGGGTCCCCATCCAGGAAGACGGTAGTGACCAGTGCAGCTGAGTTTGCTATTAATGGCTTTAACACTTCGTTGTTTGACCTCCCCTAGCTGGTTGGGCCAAAAGAACCCTTAGAGGACTTCGGTCGACTGGCATACGTAGCACGTGGCCAGGCCGGTGCAATCTATAGAGTGTGATCATTTCATCCATCGTGGGTGAGTTATCTATTCCGAAAACCATTCAACGTGCTTCAGCATTGTTGATCTGGTGTTCCCACCAGACTCGGCCAATGCTCCAAAGACATCGATGGTCAAACACTGAACGTCTGGTGATGTCCTCGGGACACAGCTCCCAGGTTTCTGATCCGTATAGTAATATGGAGAGCACCGCGACATTATAAACTCGACCCTTGACGGATAGGCTGACGTCACGCCTATGGCACAGGTGACAGCTTCACGAAAGCTACTATGGGCTTCCCAATCCGAATAGTAGTATTATCTGTCGTGAGACCACCGGGACTGATACAGCTGCCCAGGTGGACAAACTTGTCTACTACTTCAATCGGCCCATCTGCACGCATGATTTTAGGATTTATCCCACCCAGTCTTGCAGTAGCACATTGCATGTGTGAAGCGCATGCCAAACCATGATGCAAAATTATTTGGATTTTTTAATATTGCCTGCATTACCACGGCGTCAGATCCCGGAAGAGCTATGTCGTCTGCATACTCGATATCTGTGAGCGGTTTCCACGGGAGGCATCACAAGCTGATAGTGAGTACCATAAGCGACTTCGGTTTCACTCACGAAAGGCCCACAATCTTCTTGGTTACTCGGTATTTTGTTTCGTCGATCAGTTTGCTCCTGAAGCTACCGGTCTCATCCTCCATTTCGATTGTAAGTGAAGTTCTAGATAATGGGTTGTACTATGCCAGGAAGCCCCATTTTTCTCCAAATGTCCGCACCCATCGGCTTGCTCGCAAAGGTAACTTTGGATGTGTGTGTGTGTGTTACATCTAGCAACCATATTTGTAAGGGATCTGTAAAGCGGTATGCCGTGCGAATGAAGGAGTGCTAGAGTTTTGACACCTTCGACATGTGCCGAACTCCTGGGCATTCCATGAGCAGCTTTGGAATTGAAAGCATGTATGATAATGCCACCAACAATTAATGTGACCTGTCTCTGGGTCCCCATCCAGGAAGACGGTAGTGACCAGTGCAGCTGAGTTTGCTATTAATGGCTTTAACACTTCGTTGTTTGACCTCCCCTAGCTGGTTGGGCCAAAAGAACCCTTAGAGGACTTCGGTCGACTGGCATACGTAGCACGTGGCCAGGCCGGTGCAATCTATAGAGTGTGATCATTTCATCCATCGTGGGTGAGTTATCTATTCCGAAAACCATTCAACGTGCTTCAGCATTGTTGATCTGGTGTTCCCACCAGACTCGGCCAATGCTCCAAAGACATCGATGGTCAAACACTGAACGTCTGGTGATGTCCTCGGGACACAGCTCCCAGGTTTCTGATCCGTATAGTAATATGGAGAGCACCGCGACATTATAAACTCGACCCTTGACGGATAGGCTGACGTCACGCCTATGGCACAGGTGACAGCTTCACGAAAGCTACTATGGGCTTCCCAATCCGAATAGTAGTATTATCTGTCGTGAGACCACCGGGACTGATACAGCTGCCCAGGTGGACAAACTTGTCTACTACTTCAATCGGCCCATCTGCACGCATGATTTTAGGATTTATCCCACCCAGTCTTGCAGTAGCACATTGCATGTGTGAAGCGCATGCCAAACCATGATGCAAAATTATTTGGATTTTTTAATATTGCCTGCATTACCACGGCGTCAGATCCCGGAAGAGCTATGTCGTCTGCATACTCGATATCTGTGAGCGGTTTCCACGGGAGGCATCACAAGCTGATAGTGAGTACCATAAGCGACTTCGGTTTCACTCACGAAAGGCCCACAATCTTCTTGGTTACTCGGTATTTTGTTTCGTCGATCAGTTTGCTCCTGAAGCTACCGGTCTCATCCTCCATTTCGATTGTAAGTGAAGTTCTAGATAATGGGTTGTACTATGCCAGGAAGCCCCATTTTTCTCCAAATGTCCGCACCCATCGGCTTGCTCGCAAAGGTAACTTTGGATGTGTGTGTGTGTGTTACATCTAGCAACCATATTTGTAAGGGATCTGTAAAGCGGTATGCCGTGCGAATGAAGGAGTGCTAGAGTTTTGACACCTTCGACATGTGCCGAACTCCTGGGCATTCCATGAGCAGCTTTGGAATTGAACTAACCAGCTATCATAGCAAAGCAGCGGTTAGAATAATAGCATAGATGATTCCTATGCACGACAGGCTTGCATATCGAAATGAACCAAACACGGCGAAGATACAGCGAAACAGGTTTGGGCCGTTTTCAAGGGTTGACAAAATACTTCCATAGCCATTAGTTCGTGTAATCACCTGCCACAGCAGTCCTCTAAGGGGACCATCTCCCTATGATGGTCTCTGTAGTACGTCAGGCAAATCGCTAACGCCCTCTTGACTTCCTGATTTACCAGGTCGGACGTGGTATCCGGGACAGAATTGGGTACAAATGACAAATTGCCACAACTTATCCCTTGGGTTATCAAAGCGTAACAATAATCCTAACTTTCCATTACCCTTCTCTAAGCCTTCCTGAAAACCGCACTAATATCATTGGTACATGTACTACCCAATTTGGACGCCGCTTGTCACTCACTGGTACCATCATTTAACGTCACCCTAACAAAGCCGACAAACGAGGTTGTGCAAATGATAAGCAAGAAAATCGGCGTTTCATCGCCGATCATCCCAAACAATTATGGGCGTGTGACAGACGAACGGAAAAAGTTAGCGTTGGCGAAATGGTGGAGTCTAAGACCATGCAATGTGCCGTTACCATGTTATTTTGGAACATCGCTAGCGCTTAGTTTGATGTTCCAGTGTCCTCGAACCAGGCGCTTTCCGACGTAGCGTCGTTGAAACCGTTCCTTCGTAGCGTAGTGATGATTATTTGATTCACTTCAAAGGTTTAAACACCGGAAATGTTCAAGCATTTGAACCGTAACTAGAACTGTCGCTCCTTCAGAAAGACTGCTCACCAGGGATCCATCCGTTTCATTGCTCACCCAAGAAGCGCCGTGTACTGGTTTCACTATGGCACAAATATACATTTTGTTAGTTCTATATTAGTCCCCGAAAACTTGAAATTATCTTCTCTGATGTCACCGAAATAACCCTCCTCAGTCTTCACTTCTTTTCAACGCACATCCGTCCCGCATTACATATGGACCGATTTTTTTTAGAAGTAGGGTTTTGCGTCGATTAGTTTTACTTCACATAATCATCGAATCGCCCACTTCATACCCGTTTTTCCGGCCCTTTTTATGGAGAATGTCGCTTGGACTTGGTACATACAAGTAGCGTCGAGATGAATTCTCATCATGTTGGCCCAACGTTCGTACAAGCTACAACGATCGTTACGTTTCTACTGATTTAAAGACGATTGTGGCTTCGTTACTTTCCACTTCAGAATGGTGGATACAGTCGATTCGACTCGAATTCACACTGACATCTGGCTATACGCCTTAGGGCATATAAACCGATTCCGGCTAACCTGATAACAGACGGGGAGGTTGACACCGACTAATTACCAATGAAGTGTCAGCGATCGATCGGATCGGCTGATGAATCTTATTAATCGAAGTGGACATGAATATTCACATTTAGTCATTTAACCGTTCCCATTGGAGCGTGTGGCTTGAAGCCTGCCAATTCAATAACAAAGCATATTTATCAGTGACATCCACCCTGTGTCCTGTAGAAAGCCAGGCAGTGACAGTAGAAGTCGAAAGATGATTGCACCAAGGTATATACTGTCAAAGTTACGATAACTAGGATAGTAAGCAAGGTAATAAGAGAATTTCAGAGCGAAAAGTCATCAAATCCGAGCAGGATGGAAAACCGGTAAAAGTAAATAGAAATAGAATGAAAGTAGATGATATCCTTTCTTTGATATGTAAAACGGTGCCTGGAATGGACATGAGAGTTTTGGTCGTGCGAGGTCAATCATCTGAAATGAAAGACGCAGACCGAAAAAATCAAGAATGACTTAGTTAGTGAGTAATGATGCAAAACTACTTACAGGAACAACCAACTTTTCGAACAATGATCCTTGAATGCGTTACTGCAATGGGCCCGTTTGAAGATGTACCTTAGTATCTAAGTTCCCCAATTTCGGGAACTAACGAATCATACCATCGTTTCCAGTGCTTGGCTGTATTTCCTCTGCTCTCTCCTTTTGCGGTGACCAAAAGTGTAACGCCTGGAACTAATGTACGTTTTGTAACTGGCTTGTAGCGTATAAACTGAAGTTAACTGAACAATCACTTGCTTTGTTGTCATCCTGGACTTCCACAGCGTATGCGCTCTCGAAAATGCCTGCTTCTTAGTACACCATCGTTCAATCCGTCACTTAAACCACTTTGTCACACTTGCTCTATGCTCCAGTGCACTTTGGTGTAACGGTAGCCAGATCCAACATAAATAATCTCCTGCTGTGTCAATGCCTTGCATTCCGATTGCTCCAACTGTACCGTTGTATTAACTTCAAGAAACCCCGTAACTGGATACTAAGAACCGTCATTCATTTTGGCCAACGAAAGAAAGAAATCGTAATCATCATAAACATGAATCCCCCGGACGAAAACCTCGAGCCAATGAACAACAATCCTGTTCTGAATACCCGAATGAACAATAAATTTGCGCACGAATACACTCATTTGCACACCGATTCGCTTTCAACGGAAGATTCGATTGAATCTCTCGTTTATTATATTCTTCAGGTGAATGTGCTGCACAAGCGTAGTCTGATGTTTCAGTTTGTAAGATATTTCAAATATCGTAGTATATTTCCTTGGAGGAAACTATTCTTAATCATGAACAGTATAAAATCAGTGTTAGACACTGGCACTTCGCTGCCTTACAATCATAATTTATTAGAAAGTCCCACTGCGAAGAAAAGAGTAAAAGTGGATGAGGAAAGGACCTGTTACTAAACTATCACAGTCATTCTGAGGTGCCTGCACCTCTAGACACGCATTCAAGCAATCTGGATAGAAACTGACAACAAGAACGCCATACAGTCGGTACATATTTGATAAAACCAAGTAAAGATTTGCAACAAATCCTCTAGAATTATTTACAGTACTTTAAAGATGTTCACGCACCATCGAAATCTACCGGTTGCCAAGTTACAAAATCCACCTCCCCGTATTTTACGTAATACAGTTGGTGAGGTGTTGCTGGAATCGGTTGTACGCAAAATAATTTACTGACAGATTCTCTTCTTGGCAACGTGTTGGCTCAACAACAACCTGATCAATTTCTAGCTTATCTTTTCTCGGAGGAAGGTCACAGGACCCTTCCAGTATTTCTTGTCAAACGTTCGCCAGTAGATTATATAGGATGCTTGTGGACGCCTGATTACGGTACAGTGCTAGCATCAGTTACCGTCACATTATTTGAAGAGCTGAATGACAAGTCATCATCACTGTCAGCTGTACTTGTCGTACAGTGGTTGTAGCTGCCACAGTTTCCTTCACCGATGATTCGGGGAGGTGGGGCAGGTAGCTGCGCATTGGTGATCGCCTCAATCGAAATGCAAAATTTTCAGATAAACAAGATGCCGTTACACGGTTAGGCGTTAGCCATGCATCTCTAGGGTGTAAAGTGACGTGGAGGACTGAGCATTGATGAGCTCTCTATCACCGCCGACAACACCGGTGTTGAACACTGGTGATTCCGTGTCGTGCATCCGCGTCAGTCCATTTGACGAACGCATTACGACAAAGGGCATACAACGGGACTTGCCGAAGCGCCGGTAACATCAGTGGTAAAGAAGAGAACCCTGCAAGTAACTGAGAGCATCGTAAACTGACAAAAGACAAAGTCATTCTTAGCTGCCAAATTCCAAGACGCGCGATATCTTGCAGGTGACGGTGCGTCTCACATATAAAAAACTGGCGAGCTGCGACGGCCATTCGGTGCCTAATTGTCACTCAAACCGCATATTACCAGCGCAGTCAAGAAGTTGGGATTGATTTCGGACCGGAGACTTTAGGATCAGTACTCTAATGCCTTAGCTATATCGACCGTGGCTGATGCGCATGTTGAACGTACGAACCACGGACCGCTTCTGAAGTATTGTGGAGATCTGGTGATGCTAGGGTATATCGGATAGCCTTCAAATGAAAGGACCTATGATAAGCAAGCCAATCATACTCCGCAGGTTATGTTGGCCAAACTGAATTCCTCGGGGCAAATATATCTCAGAAATAAACGAATATTTTGGGCAGCTATTTCCATGAGCAAATCAACATTGCGAAACATTTTTTAAGGTCATGGTCCCTAAAAATAAGTACTGAATAACTTGAAATTTTCACTCGCTGTCATGATTAGCCTCCAAGCTGGGATATTCAAAGACGACGCAATTGTTCATGCCATATACAATTAAGACCAGACTTCTGTGTCGCCTATTGCTGGACTGGCCAGCGTGTATACTTGAGTTCCATCTGAGCGAGGCCTTGTAGAGTATAGTAACAGTGTTTGAGGTTGCCAGCTCCCATCTGCAGTCGGTGGCTGTTCTGGAACATAAATGGGGATCAGCCAATAAGATTCTTGCACACACTCATCAAAGTTTATCCACGATATTCGCAGGGATGCGGAATAGCCGGGAGGAATAATCAAAACCTCACTTTGGGGTGGTCACATGATTTTTCAGTACCAGTTTTTCACTTCTCACCGTTTTATATCAGTCACTGTCAGTCTACCTGTAAATTGTGGGATCCACTTTCGAAGAAATTCGGCACTTGCGAACCAGAAATCATTCAGGTGTTCACAAGGAGAATTTGTGTTGTAAACGTGGATGGTACTATAATTCGGTTGCCGGGTTAACTAACTTACCATCCATGTAAGCACCATCCGCCAAAACCAGCTGAAGAATGCGATCGTAATAAGCTGCAGCTTTGGTTTCACCAAGAACATTGCTCACTGCCTTTTCGCTAGCCGTGATATCCTCATCTTCATCCTCTTGCAAAGCCTTCAAATGAGTGTAGAGATAAAAGGCTGTTTCAGTACCTGCGAAAAATTGAATGTTACATATCTATTTTTAGGACAAGTGGACTTCTCATATTAGGCACCAACTAGTGGAGTGCCGTGTCACTCTGGCATGCGACGTGTCGTGCTAACGTATCAGTTGGGAAACTCGGGATAAAATAATCGGTTGACCGAATACGTTACTCCTCGATGTTACTAAATACAATGTTCTACGGACAAGAATGAATAGAGTTTTCCCCTTTATCGTTCAGGAATTAACTTCCAATGGAGCCATCAAACCGCGTCCGGACACCGTTTCTAGGGACAGGCTGCCAGTCCTGCCGCTCATCTCATAAAACGCAGACAAACACATATTGGTTATTTCACAATGTCCTTGCCTACGCGGGTAGGCCGAAGCCAACCTTCGAACCAAGTGTTGAATTTACAGCCCATAAGGATCCCCAAATATTCCTCTATCCTGTATGGAAATCTCAAGCGACCATAGCTATTTGAATTTCCTGAGGCAAATGTTATTATCGGATATTTGATATAATTCACATCTTACCTGGATAATATTATAGGCGCGTAGAAGCTGCTCTATACCAAGCTCTCGCTCGAGGTCTGCTCGCATCCGCTCCAGGCGTAGAAATCTGGTGTCACTTGACATGTTGGCGTTTTCGTTCTCCTCGTCATCAAAACAATTAGGTTCCGGTGTTTTCCTTCTTCCCTCATCCTTCTGTCTGTCGCCATCTTCATATTCTTCGACTGTGTCCTCGTCAATATCTGAATCACAGTCGTAATCAGACACACCAAACTCTTCATCCACTTCAGTGAGTCGTGCCAGCCGGTTCTTTTGTACGGACCGGTGATCCTTAGCCTGATGCTCTTCTTCGCTGTCCTCCTCCAATTCCTCGCTGAATTCATCATCCGTAGCATGCTCATTGTCCGTAAATTCATCGCTTTCATCCCGCAAATCATCTACGGATACCTTGATCTCACTCTGCAGTGCATCCCCTAATTGATTCCGGTGCTCATAAGCACTAATTCTGACCGTTTCCGACACATCCGCTGTTCTCCGTGTTGACGTTCCGCAGTACGATATCCCCACTTGAGAATCCACAGAAGCTGCCAATAAAAATCAGTGATTGTTTATTTCATTCCCCATGGGGTCAGAACGAACATACCCATAGGTGGATACCTATGCACCCAGCGGTAGTCCTCACGAAAATTTAACGGAGTTCATCAGACCTGAGCCGCTCTAACTTACGGGGAAACAGCTCCTTTCCTATCACAAAAGTATCCCCCAACTTAAGCTACATACACTGGACCTGAACATATTTTGGAATCTTTGTCATGTTTGTTCAACGCCCTAACAGAATTAGTTTCCTGTTAATATGATGAACTTTCCCGCTGTCACAGTCGCATTTTTATCTAAGTGGTGTGGCCAATGAAAAACTCGAAAAACACGTGCACAGGAACTATGGTGATTTCTCTTCAGAGAGGGCGGCCTTCGAAACCATGCATCTCTTCAGGTGACGACATGCGTAAGAGAACACTTGAGGAATTGGTACGGAAAATGTATACTACTAATTGTTTCCACCACCTGAATGATTCAAAACTGACCAATACCATCCGCCAATGCCGGGTGGGCGTGACGCAACTCCAGGACCTGTGTTAGTTTTAAGTCAGCAACAAACACTGGATAAGCTGAGTATCCGTATGCGACCAAACTTTACTGGGTCGCGTCGACGCAATACAAATCAAAACTAAGCTTCATTCGGAACTCACTTGCCCTATGGATTGCATCTTCTTGCTGTTCGGGAAACATTTAGTATGTTGGTAAAAAACGATTTAATTTATAATCCAGTTCAAGCAGTTTCAAAGCTATCCAATTTTGGTGAGTTCTCCCATCCCATACAAACCGCACTATCCGATTCAAATCAGTAGGTGAAGACTGAAATATCCAACAAAAGCATTATTCTGGTGCCTTACGACAACAGAGAAAACACTGCAGTTTGAGAACAGTAGCAACGATCTTCCTGAATTCTCACGCTTTGTTCGACTCAACTTGACGACGAATACGGATTTGAAAAAAGAAAGTAGAAAACAGTGGATCAACTTTATCTTTGCAATAAAAGTCAGTTTGTCATCACACAATATAACTTTCAGAACACTGTCCTAGGACAAAGTCCGTAGAATTTAGGAATGATCTAGTTGTGAAATACACAACCCTGGACAGAGTGTTGTGTTTCAGACCTATTCGCGGGCAGTCGTATTGAGTCCATTTTCGGGAGAATACCTTCCATGGGATAACAATTCAGGTGGGTCCAGTGAGTGCTTTCTGCAAAGAGGAATTCTCCGTACCAGTCCCGCACTGTTTGAACTAGCCGTACTTAGAAACCGTGTGAGAGCGATGTGCGCCTATCTGAGATTTGTTCTGGGAAACTCCCACCAATGTAGCACGATTTCAGCGCTGTACATGCGGAAAACATCCAACTCAGTCAATCAGCCAATCTGTCAGCTATAAACCGTATGCCATAGGCACAATGCTTCCAGCTGCTACAATTTCGATCACCGGAAAGTTGGAGAGTGTGGGACATACAGTCAAGTCTTGGAGGTGATGGCATATTTGTCTAGTTCAGGAACCAGGTAGCTACGCACTGAAGGTGATAGCTCTGATGCATGGACACTACTGACTGTGCGACTGGACCATTTCTACCGGTCTCACCAACAATTAGGGAGTTGAGTCCCGGGGTCCCCATCCAAGGAGGCGGCAGTTCTCCACCCGACTAAGTTTACTGGTCAGCGTTTTCCATACTTTGTTGCCCGGTCGTAAGAGAGTCATGGTGGATACTTTGAATCCGTGATAAGAGAAACAAACGAAGTATCACACAGAAGAAACAACTGTTTCTGTCATCACGGTACAGAACTAAGTCCCAGTGTAAATGACAGCCAGGCGACAGCGTCAGAACACCGTCATAAAATGGCCGAATCTACGTGACTTGGTGCCTCATGTACCTTTCTAAACCACAGAGCTGAACTGTGGGATACTTGTCTAACACCTCATACCACGTAGGTAATGTGGGAGTGGTCTGGACAAGCCTCAGATTGAAGACTAATCGTATGCTAATCACTGTCACCTTGTGTTCAAGCTCCTCAGCAGAATGCTCTGGCTGGAGGCCCTAATTGTTCCAGTTTTGTGTACCTTGGTAGTATCTCAGCTCATGTCGGACCACAAGTTTCATTCAAAATCGATAACCTTGTGGTTCTGACAGCCTGTTCGTCTTATTGGACAAGTACATTACGGCAGACAAGCGCCACTGGACTGTACTGGCGCTACTTGTGACATCAAAAAGAAAAAGAAAAAAGAAAAATCATAAGGACTCAACGGGCGCGTATACCAGACCACAGCGTGGGCTGTATTGCTGGACTGCTGCGAGACCCGACCACTTTGCGCGAAGGATCTGACACATTTTCAGCTCCTTGACCACTGACGTCTCAAAAATATAGCTGGAGTCGGCTCGTGCAACAACGCGTGCTCCGGAATTTCATGCATATCATGTCTGTATTCAGATGTAGGCGCGTGAGACTGTATGGAAAGATTTCGGAAAGGCCAAGCTACGATGACCAGGTCATCTGTTGCGCATGCGAAGTTACCGCATATCGAGACGGGTACTGTGTTTCGTGCCTAATACAGAGTGGCCGAAACCTAGGAGTGGACAGAAGTTGACATGGCGAAGAAGAATGATGTTATGAAAGTTTGAGTGCTGTTGGTACTGTTCGCCTCCCAAGATAGAGTCCTCGTGCCCCTCCATGCGCTTGATTGGAGACACTGAACTATATGGTGACCATCAGATGTCAGCGGTATTCATGCTTTCAGTTTCCGTTCGGACCGTTTAGCTGATTGTTGGGGGTTTAGTCGGATATTTGTGGCAGACTAGCTCTAGGTCTCCCTTTCCGCCCTATTTTCTCCTTTCCATTAAAAGCCTTTAGTAAACTAATTTAACATGGTTGTAGGGCGGTATAGCACTGGTGTCCTAATCTGCTGCTGCTATCAATGAGGATTGTGATTGGTTTGCCCTACATCATTGTTCAAGACAACACATCCATGCATATCGTAACAACCACAAACCTACCCACCCAGAAACCAGTCCTCTGGTCCCATACTTCATGCAACTGTCTTTAATGCTCCCATGATGGAGCAAGCGGGAGAACACGCTGAAACTACGCTGGACTGGCTTTCAAGTAATACGTGCAGCCTGCAGAAAAATGCATTGTGCGTCGAGCCGCTGGCTACAGCCTGTGCGAAGCCAGGTTTTAAATTCCAAGTACGATTGTCGAATAAAACTTTTCATCAGCATCTCACTTCTGGATGAGCACCTATGATGCTCGAGAGGATGAGTACGCTGCTGTCGATATTGCAATATGTCAACAGTTGGAAGGATGTCTACTCGACTGGATGCTAATCTGTGCGCGGTTCCCACGACGACGTTCTTGAGGTCGTATTGCTGCTTGTACACCGTATCTGAATACGCTCCAAAAGACTTTAGTTATAAGAGTGTCACAGACAGTATTCATGACATATTTAACACTTTATCAGGGCAGCCTCAACGTTCAGCGATTACCTTGGGTATAGGCAAACGCAAAAGTAATAGAACTTGATCCTGCTGAGGCTCAATGACGTGGTCATTCTGAGCTGGGCTCTGTATGAAAGGGTCGGTTTTTTGAATTTGAATGCCGAACACAGACTTTATCCATGCAGCACAAAATTCTGAAGCAATTGATATAGTGACCAACCCAAAACGCCACCAGATGAAGCATGGATCACTTGCTGGCTTCTGACTGTTTTGAAACAGCTATATTGCTCAGATCACGCAACTGTTTACTGCCGTCTCCGCTGTCGCTGCTTTTCTTTACGTCTCTCGGAAGCGCGTGAAATCCTTCTACATAGCCTAGAAACCGGAAGGATCCAGGGTTCCGAATGGAGACAAATATACCAATGTACCGGAATTTTGGTAGCTCGGGTACGTTCACTGGTGGCTGTTGATCGGTTCGCCGAGCTCGAAAGCTAGCTTGCGTAGTGATGACATCTTCATTATTGGTAATGAGGTGTTTTTCAAGCTAACTACCAAGCTCCATGGACAGATCAAAAGTTACTCGGTCAACTACAAACAAAAACTGCCGTTTGCAATAACTCCTGACTAATCCTTCCAGGGAAATCAATTCCTCCAGGAACATGATTTGCACGATCGTTTGCACGACTGCTCTGCGTATGGAGAATTACACTCAGATATATTAAACCTTTGTAACAATATGACTTCAACCTTACCTGGGCCCCGAAGGAGCTTTCAGACTTGTCCCAAATATAATGTGTATCGCCTTACTACCGAACATTAAAGATGAGTATCCATAGTGAATGTAAATCTTGGTTAGTGTAGGTGAGCATCCGAAAGTTCTAGCTTGTCGTTGTAACAGGCTTCAGAAAACGCTCTGTGGATAGAAGTATCAACGACAAGAATGGCATGCAGCCCCCCGAGGAAGAGTAGCGTCTCAATCGTTGGAAGAATACTTTGAGTATTAATGTACCTGAGTACCTATTGCTAATAATGTGGCGTCTTAGCAGCAACAAAACTCGAGTGCTAAACACAGAGCTCCAGACGGCTTCGGAGTTGTATGAATACACTTCATCTCCCAGATGATGCCCATCTAATGGTCCCAAGGAATCAGATGGAGGGCAAAGAATATCCCAGCCAACCGGGCTAAATAGATAATACTATCTCACTCCAAGAAACGTACTCGCAGTGAACGTGCTGATCACAAACTGGCACCGACATCAATGTCGTTTTATGACAGTATACTAATTTTTCCTCGAGAACAGCAAGTAGGATTACAGGCTAAAAGAAGTGCATGGATCGGATATTCACAGCATTTAGTACCAAAGCAGTAGCATGCAGACAACCCACAATATTGCTATTCTTGCATTTCGTGAAGGAGTTTGAAACCATGAACTGATCCTTCACTCGAAGTGCATTTGTGAGACGAAGGTTGTTCCAGAATTTTGTAAATATGATATATTCGTTATATTTACATGTTTGCGGGCTTAACAGCTCTGTGAAGGCTTCCTC